GAACCTGAATGAACCGCACAGAACACGAGCGATCTCTGAGCTACGTACATGGTCGCAGCTTTGTTTGTGCGGAGCGGAATGCAAATGCAAATGAACAAGCTCCACGAGAATGTCGGGCAGACACTGACCTTGGTGGTTGGTCATAACCAATTCTTCCGCTCGCACTGGAGAAAAAAAGGGCGCCAATTCGCCCTTCAAGGCGGCAGTGGCTGCCCGAAAAATTACAGTTACATTGCCAGTCTGTTCACGCATCTCCCCAAGTGTTCGGGGTGGAAAGTTCTGCGCCGCCAGAAAATGTCACAACAAGGGGACAAGAAAGACCCGTGAGCGCGGCTGTGGTGATCGTCCTAACATTGACTCGGTACTGTACTAGCATAACTTGGACCTGACCTTATAACTACACCAGCGGGAACTGTCATTACATTCTCAATAAGTTCACTACATCTGCTGATGTAGTATGCAACGTAAGGAAAACAAGTTTGCCCTTCACCTGGCTCCAGTGTGTACAGTTACCTCAATTTTTCAAGTACTGTACTGCTAGGTCTGAGTTGAGAATGATGGTCTTTCTGATTCTTGGTTGACATAGTTGTTCAAACAACCTTTTCATCTCGACTTGTCTTACCCTTCATTGTGCCTGGTCTTGCGTTACGCATTGTTCTATTCTCTGGTATTTGATGGAGCAATGAATCGCATTTTTTATTTCCTACGAAGAAAGAGGAACGCACGCAAAGGCAGAAAGTGGAACGTAGCCTTCATGTTAGACGCATTTCCAAAGCACAGTAAGATTCAAATCAACAGGAAGAAAAGGGGGAGAGAGACACCGCAAATGAAATCCCCTGATTCGGCTTGCAGATTGTTCTGCCCGCCCGGTCAGAGTTATCCAAGAAATGCATGGGTAATGACCTGAGTCAAGACGTCGTGTCCCTTCCCAAATCAAAATAAATCAAACCGAACCAAAAGAAATTCAAACCATGCGCTCATACATATCGTACAGCCCCCCAACAACCATACCGGAGACAGCCACAGAGCCAACCACTACAGTACGTGTACACATTCTCTTTCAGAAGTTCAAAGTTCTTACGACCCGACACTGAACGCCACCTTGATCCCGAGGCTGCAGTCCTTGTTGGCCTTGCTGCTGAAGTAGATGGTCTTGCCGTACTCCCTCCAGTTCACCTTGTACCAGTAGCTCCCGTAGTTGCGGTTGCGTGCGAGCTGCTTCGCCTTGACAAACGTGCATGCGGCATACTCAGCCGCGCTGACCTTGTGCACCGAGTGCACCTCGCCCGTCCACTGGAACACTGCGGGTAGGGTGTGGGAGCAGTAAGGGGTCAAGGGACAGGAGGATGGGGGGAAGGGTAAGGGGTGGAGAAACGTGCGTGCAGCATACTCAGCCGCGTTGACCTTGTGCACCGAGTGCACCTCGCCCGTCCACTGGAACACTGCGGGCACGGCACGGGCGCAGGGGGGGACAGGGGGGGTTGGGGGGAAGGTGAATGGGGAGAAATTATGATGACATGTGCACCTCGAAAACAGGCTAGTGGTCTGTCGTGTTGCTGCAGTCCTTTCCGTTCCAACCGCCTTGTACCAGTAGCTGCTCCCGTAGTTGCGGTTGCGCACGAGCTGCTTCGCCTTGACAAACGTGCATGCAGCGCACTCAGCCGCGCTGACCTTGTGCACCGAGTGCACCTCGCCCGACCACTGGAGCACTGCAGACAGGGGGGCAGGGGGGCAGGGAGGGAGGGAGGGAGGGAGGGAGGGAGGGAGGGAGGGAGGGAGGGGGGAAAGGAGTTGACAAACGTGCATGCAGCTTACTCAGCCGCGTTGACCTTGTGCACCTCGCCCTACCACTGGAACACTGCAGGCAGAGGGGTAGGAGGGCAAGGAGGGCAGAGGGGTAGGAACACTGCGTGACGCGGGGGGCAGGGAGTTACATGTATTACACATCCTTCTCAAGTGAAGTGTGATACTTTGTGCACCAAATGGACCTCTCCCGACCACTGGAACACTGCAGGCAGGAAGACAGAGAGGAAGGCAGTGAGGGAGCCACCCACACACTCGCGCAGCACATCACATCAGCACACGCACATCAGGACACGCACATCACCACACGCACATCACATCAGCACACGCACATCAGCACACGCACATCACATCAGCACACGCACATCAGGACACGGGCGTACCCAGGCTGTCGCCAGGCAGCAACTTGGGTGCCTTCCAGTCCTTCATCACGAAACGGCACGGGGACAGCCACCCACATACACACAGACACACTCGCACATCATTCGTACACCACACAACACACATCACACTCACACTCACACACACCCGCAGGAGCATGCGTACCTAGGCTGTCGCCAGGCAGCACCTTGGGTGCCTCATGGTTTTAAATCCAACAACATCTTGTTTTGTTGGATTTAAAACCATGAGGCACCCAAGGTGCTGCCTGGCGACAGCCTAGGTACGCATGCTCCTGCGGGTGTGTGTGAGTGTGAGTGTGATGTGTGTTGTGTGGTGTACGAATGATGTGCGAGTGTGTCTGTGTGTATGTGGGTGGCTGTCCCCGTGCCGTTTCGTGATGAAGGACTGGAAGGCACCCAAGTTGCTGCCTGGCGACAGCCTGGGTACGCCCGTGTCCTGATGTGCGTGTGCTGATGTGATGTGCGTGTGCTGATGTGCGTGTGCTGATGTGATGTGCGTGTGGTGATGTGCGTGTCCTGATGTGCGTGTGCTGATGTGATGTGCTGCGCGAGTGTGTGGGTGGCTCCCTCACTGCCTTCCTCTCTGTCTTCCTGCCTGCAGTGTTCCAGTGGTCGGGAGAGGTCCATTTGGTGCACAAAGTATCACACTTCACTTGAGAAGGATGTGTAATACATGTAACTCCCTGCCCCCCGCGTCACGCAGTGTTCCTACCCCTCTGCCCTCCTTGCCCTCCTACCCCTCTGCCTGCAGTGTTCCAGTGGTAGGGCGAGGTGCACAAGGTCAACGCGGCTGAGTAAGCTGCATGCACGTTTGTCAACTCCTTTCCCCCCCTCCCTCCCTCCCTCCCTCCCTCCCTCCCTCCCTCCCTCCCTCCCTGCCCCCCTGCCCCCCTGTCTGCAGTGCTCCAGTGGTCGGGCGAGGTGCACTCGGTGCACAAGGTCAGCGCGGCTGAGTGCGCTGCATGCACGTTTGTCAAGGCGAAGCAGCTCGTGCGCAACCGCAACTACGGGAGCAGCTACTGGTACAAGGCGGTTGGAACGGAAAGGACTGCAGCAACACGACAGACCACTAGCCTGTTTTCGAGGTGCACATGTCATCATAATTTCTCCCCATTCACCTTCCCCCCAACCCCCCCTGTCCCCCCTGCGCCCGTGCCGTGCCCGCAGTGTTCCAGTGGACGGGCGAGGTGCACTCGGTGCACAAGGTCAACGCGGCTGAGTATGCTGCACGCACGTTTCTCCACCCCTTACCCTTCCCCCCCATCCTCCTGTCCCTTGACCCCTTACTGCTCCCACACCCTACCCGCAGTGTTCCAGTGGACGGGCGAGGTGCACTCGGTGCACAAGGTCAGCGCGGCTGAGTATGCCGCATGCACGTTTGTCAAGGCGAAGCAGCTCGCACGCAACCGCAACTACGGGAGCTACTGGTACAAGGTGAACTGGAGGGAGTACGGCAAGACCATCTACTTCAGCAGCAAGGCCAACAAGGACTGCAGCCTCGGGATCAAGGTGGCGTTCAGTGTCGGGTCGTAAGAACTTTGAACTTCTGAAAGAGAATGTGTACACGTACTGTAGTGGTTGGCTCTGTGGCTGTCTCCGGTATGGTTGTTGGGGGGCTGTACGATATGTATGAGCGCATGGTTTGAATTTCTTTTGGTTCGGTTTGATTTATTTTGATTTGGGAAGGGACACGACGTCTTGACTCAGGTCATTACCCATGCATTTCTTGGATAACTCTGACCGGGCGGGCAGAACAATCTGCAAGCCGAATCAGGGGATTTCATTTGCGGTGTCTCTCTCCCCCTTTTCTTCCTGTTGATTTGAATCTTACTGTGCTTTGGAAATGCGTCTAACATGAAGGCTACGTTCCACTTTCTGCCTTTGCGTGCGTTCCTCTTTCTTCGTAGGAAATAAAAAATGCGATTCATTGCTCCATCAAATACCAGAGAATAGAACAATGCGTAACGCAAGACCAGGCACAATGAAGGGTAAGACAAGTCGAGATGAAAAGGTTGTTTGAACAACTATGTCAACCAAGAATCAGAAAGACCATCATTCTCAACTCAGACCTAGCAGTACAGTACTTGAAAAATTGAGGTAACTGTACACACTGGAGCCAGGTGAAGGGCAAACTTGTTTTCCTTACGTTGCATACTACATCAGCAGATGTAGTGAACTTATTGAGAATGTAATGACAGTTCCCGCTGGTGTAGTTATAAGGTCAGGTCCAAGTTATGCTAGTACAGTACCGAGTCAATGTTAGGACGATCACCACAGCCGCGCTCACGGGTCTTTCTTGTCCCCTTGTTGTGACATTTTCTGGCGGCGCAGAACTTTCCACCCCGAACACTTGGGGAGATGCGTGAACAGACTGGCAATGTAACTGTAATTTTTCGGGCAGCCACTGCCGCCTTGAAGGGCGAATTGGCGCCCTTTTTTTCTCCAGTGCGAGCGGAAGAATTGGTTATGACCAACCACCAAGGTCAGTGTCTGCCCGACATTCTCGTGGAGCTTGTTCATTTGCATTTGCATTCCGCTCCGCACAAACAAAGCTGCGACCATGTACGTAGCTCAGAGATCGCTCGTGTTCTGTGCGGTTCA